GGTATATTCAAACACCCCAATTGAGCAACGTATGAGAAGTTATTTCATAGTGATGGTTATGTGCTTTAAAATAACGTTAAATTAGTTATTTCACATATAGGTGAGACGTTTCCAGAGGACAAGCGCAATCAGGCGAGACTTGGGGGTTACGACCCTGCTACATACCAGTGAGTGGGCTTTTAGTTATATATACATACATATATATATATATATATGCCTTATGTTTCCCAGAAACCATTTAAATGGTTTTTACATTTTAAGTACCATGTCGTATGCATTACATATTAGTATATGTTATAATATAGTTGTGCATATTACTGCTCGACGTTATGGACGCTCAGGTAAGCTTGAAGTGAGTATATGGTGATAGTTGTGATGGTAGTGTGTATGATTATGATGAATTTCTTTTAGTGAATTATATCCTGCACCCCGGTGTTAGTGCTCCGCTCGAGGGTAGGGCCCAGCCTTCACGTGATCGTTCACCTCCCGCACCACACGCTCACCTTGGATCCAAGGCAGGTGCCAGCTTGTCGTACAAACCACATTAGGTGGTTCCGACTTATAGGTGACTTAAGATACTTCGCACAGCCTTCACGTGATCGTAACACTTGAGCGTACTTATTTACACCTAGCATGTCGTATAGACCACATAGGTGGTTCCGACTCGTGTACAGGATTTGATTTGATTGTTGAGTTATTGATTCAGTCGTATAGGTGATGTTAGGTGACTCCAGCTGATATGTCACTTTATATAAGTGCAATTCACCTGGCTTACTTATTCATGGTTGAGGTAGTTGTCATGGCATACACAAGGTTCGGTTATTCTTAAGTATAGTTTTCATACATGTTTACAGTATTATTTATGGGAAACTTATACGGGTTTTACAGCGAGGGGTTATTACTTTTGAAAAGATAAATGGTTTTGAAAGCTTTGTTTTGCCCACTCACACTTTTTGTTTTGCGCCCCTCCAGGTTCTAGATAGAAGTTCGTGTCGGTGTCTCACGAGGACTTCACGGCGGTTCTAATAGACATACACCAGTGTAGGGTTTCTTTTATGATCTGTATAATTATTACTTAGTCTTCTGGACTGCACGTCGATACCTATGCTCTAGTTGTGTGTGTTTTGCCTCTAATCACTTTCACTCGTACTTATAGGCTAGTCTAAGGTAAGATAATTAGTGGTTTTTATTTATTCGCATTTTCATATCATTACCGCTTCCGCACGGCGCACATGGTTACGTCACCCTCTCGTGACGGCCACATGCCTCGATTGAGGTTGGGTTGTGTCAAGTGGGGTCATATTATCCGTTAATATTAACAGGTCGAGTTTGGGTTTTATTTAACGAATAATGGGTGGAGTCATATTATCTGTTAATATTAACGAGTTGAGTCTGATCTGATCATATTACCCGTTCATTTTAAAGGGTATTACACGACATGACTCGTTAAGTTATCAAATATGACATGAAAACAATACGAACATGGAAAACACGACACTATCAACGCCGGCGGACCAGTTGTCTCCAAGTTCAAAGTCGTCAACCTCGTTTGCTTTTTTGCCGCCTTCGATTCTTTTGCCTCGTTCATCATTGCCAATCATCGTCTCTAACTTTAAAGTCGGCAACCCTATTAGGTCTTTTGCTGCCTTCGGTTCTTTTGCCTAGTTCATCATCACTGATCACAAAGAGTTGTAAGTCACTCTTTCTCTCCTCTATCTCTCATTCTAAATAATAAAGAAGATAGACTGTTGATCGACGTCCACTTCAGATCGAAATTCGAGATTACACGGCTGATGAAAAGCTGCAAAGTGGTTCTCTAGAAACTTCCATACAATCTGGTCGGGAAGCCTGATTGGCTAAGGAGGATCATTGTGGTGATGTCGGGCCCTAATCCGAAAATAAGGATGATAATCAAAATAGGGCATGAATAGTATCTTAGTAAAAAAAAAATTGTAATATTACAACAAAAGTATGATGAAACCAAAGCCATCTAAAATTTCATTTAGATCTATTTATTTAATACATCTTGAGTTTAAAGAGTTCAACTCTTACAACACTCTCTTAAGACACTAAGACACTTTATTTTAAGTACAACTAGGAGCCAACACGCATATGATATGGCTATTCAGTTAGAGACGAGTCATCATCCTGTTCCTCAATACCGATACTTGCAATAATTAATAGGGTGTGAGCATTTTATGCCCAATAGGAACCATATACCCTTCAAGTTCATTTATCACAGTTAATCAAAGTGTCATGCATCAAACAATATGGTAAACTACAAATGATATGACAATCAAAGTGTCATGCATCAAACAATACGGTAAAATACAAATGATATGACAAAGAAGTACCCATGAACTCACTCCCTTCTAATCCCCGCTAACCTATATTTATGGCACCCAAATCCGCACGTCTTATACCATGCTTATACCACTTGGTTTCGAACACCATATAATATAAGTTAACTCTCATTCGTCCCTTAACCCTGAATTTTATTAGTAGTTTTAGTTTTATTAATATGGGCCATTCCCCCGACGCCCAACTATACGTTCAAGCCCCTCCCCCGACGCTTAAACATATATAAGTTTCCAACACTTTGTTTAACCAAAACTTTACACAACCCAACACTTGGCTCTGTATCATGTAATGCAACCTGAGCATTTCAATTTCACATATACAATTGTAAACCTCAACATATTCAATCTAGCAATTTTACATAGCTCAACCACTCATCAAAACATAATAACATTTAACATAGTCGATATATAAAGTACACCAGAGAGGAAACTATCAACCCATAATACAACCATGACAATCAAATGATTACTGTATCAGGTATAATTACTAATATCACAAAGATTAAACATGATATAGACCTATCATCGGGAAATAGAGTCCCTACCTCGTGTCCAGCTAACTAGAATACCTTTCTCTGCCTCAGAAGTGTCTGGAGTCACTCCCAGGCCTAAAATCGCATAAATAATAATAAAAGTTAGTATAAAACTGAAATGAAGATTCAATTTCAGCCTATCAAAAGTTTACCCAAATATACCCATTTGTCACAACCTCGTGATGAACCAAGTTTAAGTTCCCATATTGTGACCCCATTTTCATCCCTCAAAACTCCATGGAAAAGGATGAAATTACTTGGATTTTAAAGCTTAACAAACCTAGTTTTTAATCTAATAAGAGTTTCTCAAAATGGATTTAAGAGGAGAAAATAATCAAGCTCCAAAGTTGAGTTCACAAATAGTTTTTCTGCAGAGAATCTACAGATTTTCAGATTCTTTTCACATTTTCAAATCATATTTTTTTTCCATAGAAGATCTTAACCACAATTGGTGAAATAAATTGAGCTTTGTTCCTTGTCATGTCTAATTTCAAATATATAAGAAGACTTTCTAAAAATATGTAATGGATTGAGAGAAAACAAGAGCCAAAGTATGGCTCACAAACTACAGTTTTCTAGAAATCAAAGTTGCAATGGTAAAAAAATAGAAAATTAACTAATTTGAGTTATTTTGTACCAATTGAAGAACACACCAAGCACACTCTCTACTCTCCTCTTTATGTTTTCCTACTTTTCCCTCTCCAAAACCTCTCGCTCTACTGTAGTTTTTCTGTGAGAGTTAAAAAAATATTCTCTAACCCCATCATTACATCTCTGTTTTAGAATGCTTACTCATCCCTTTAAACTACCCCACATCACCCCAAAATTTATGAACAAAATTAGATTCTCTTGGTTCCCCACCGTGTGATGGTTGGGAAGAAAAGGAAAAGTTTGGGATGTCTACACATCATCATTTGTCTATTCTATTTTGTTTTTTTTCTTATTTAATATTTAAAAGCTAAAATAATTTTACTTATATATATATATATATATATTTTTTTTTTTTCTTCGAGTGTTACAGGTGATGTCGGAGGGGGCGAAGCGGAGCTTGACGAAAATGGGGATGCACGTTCCACCGTGGAGAAAAGCCGAGTACATCAGGCCCAAGGGGTTGTCTCCTCACGAAAGAGGTAATGAAGGTCTTGAATTGGGAAGGGCAGATAGCTGTTCAACTTTTTTTAAGTTTTTAATTATACAAATTTATTTTTATGGAACAAGGGACTTGTGCCCTTCGACGGGATGGCCTTTCCGAGGGCTTGGATTTGTTTCTTTTTTTTTTTTTTTTTTTTAATTTTTTTTTTTTTAATAAAACGATAGATTTGTTAGACTAATGAGCCAACAAGATTCGAACTCACGTCATGGTGCAAAAGCAACACTCATTTGCATCACTGAAAGAGATGAGAGCCGCTGGATACTCTTCAATGGACACCTCATTCTAACAGTTGAGGTTTGTTAGGATTCTTGCGTCTGGTCAATTCAAATTGAGGGCGGGTCATTTGTTCATCCAAAAGTCCCTAGACTAACCAACTTCCCTCTTTCTTCTCTCAGCCCCGTTTGGTAAGTTGGATGAGATATATTGTGATTAGTTAAAATAAACTTGAATCTAGTCCGTTGTTTGTTATATCAAAATGTAAGATAAACAAAACTAAACATAACGAATTATGAATTCACAATAAAGTGGGTTATCTAACTTATCTCTATATATGAGTTACAAGTCTTATTTTACAAGCCTCTGCCAATTAAATCTTATCCCTAAGACTCAATTCCAACCAGCCCACCAAACAAGCCTGTTTGGTGGGTTGAATGAAATTGAACCTTAGGGATATAATAAGATTAGATATAAAGTTGTAAAACAAGACTTGTAACCCATTTCTAAAGATAAGCTAGATAACCCACTTATAAATCATCATGTCCACCCATGTCTAACTCACGTTTTAACACAACAAACAAATAACTGGACTTAAGTCCATTTTAATTTGTCACAATCTATCTCAACCAGCCCAACAAACATACGTTTAGCCGGTGCTTACTCCTGGCCTTGCTTTGACATTCAGACACGTCCCATTCCAATGTATATTCAAAATCACCAGGTTGTGCAATCCATGGGTATTGGCAAAGTTGCTGGTATTTTCAGTGTCTATAAACCAATATAATGACAAACATTTACACTTCAATGATGAAAACAACAATTATGTTCAGTCTTGTGAGTGTCTAAAAATGATTTGCATCACTGCCACAACAAAAAACGCATATTAAAGAAAACAGAGAAATATCTAAAATCATATAACTTGGTATTCAAGCGTTGCTACTTGCAAGTCATAGTTGCAGCCCTGGGATGCCAAACCACAAAAGTATCCTTCGTGGCCGGTCTAGGAACCTCGCCTGCCATGCAGGCTCGTCATTTTCATAAACAAAACCACTCTTCATGTACAACTTTTTTGCAGGTTCATTATCAACAGCAACATGAACATAAAGATCACTTATGCCTGTCAAATTTCAGGAAACCAACAATAAGCATATGCCCCATTAAACATGATCAAGATCCAAAAGAATGAAACTAAACATATATTAGAGCACAAAGACTAAAGAGATTACGAAAAAAAATAGAGTCTAAAGATTCAGTCCATGTGCTAGTCCGCAGCACTTCCTCAGAATCCCAACACAAGCAGAAATAATAATCTTCTCGACCTAGCACTTTCAGACACATATGGAACTTTCAAAATGGAAAGCCTTTCATGATGCTTATTTCTTATTTCGTTGAACAAATACCAGGGCTACAGATTCATGATCCATTCAATTGCACAAAAGTCTCTCTTCACTTTCACTTTTCCTGCTCTAAATTGTAAATAACTAACAATCACAACAAATCCTCGAGGTCCGAGCCTCTTCTAATCGGTTGATATCTCTTGTACATGACATCTTCTAAGTGTTTATCAAATTATCACAAGCATCATTGTAACCAAAAAGAAAAGGGATATCTATTTAACATTGCTATGTAACGCATATATACACTAAATATACAAAATGTTCAGTAAGGAAAGCAGCTAGTGAAGCGATCATTTACATGTTCCCTTCATTTTATACACTAAATATACAAAATGTTCAGCAAGATTTCTACAGCTCTAGCTTTTCAAACTGTCACTTTATTCTCTTAGTTTCCTTGTTCCCTTCATTTTCCTTAAAGTAAAATATCCATGAGTACTCACCAAGTGAAGCATAACAATGCAAGAGCATCATATATCAAGAGAAACATTTTGATTAATTAGGTTATTGCTGTGGACATATATTTGGGGTAATAAAAATCTATAGAGCCAAAAATCAAGAGAGAAGTAAAGGAGGCATGGTAGTACAAAACTGGGAGCATATGCGAATGATGTTTAACCAATGCAGTGGCATAGGGATAAATAGTGTCAAATCTCTTACCCCATTCTTGCGCAACTAACTTTGATTTTGAAACAAGAGCATAACCTAGCCCATTTCTATGCAGTTCTTTAGCAACACATACATTACTTAGGTATGCCCTTGCAAAATCAGCTCCAATCCCCTGTTCAAATGCAATTCTAAAGGTCTGTCAGTCTTGTAACATTCTTTCGGTCAAAACACCAGAAACTACGTTACATTTGCAAAAGTGTAGAGACCAATGGTGTAAAGCCTTCTGAAGCAAAGAAATCTATTGATATAGCATGTGAAAGAAAGACCATTCAACTAAGGTCATTGAATGCCAAGTTTATTATCTAATCTTGTTACACCAATAAAGCTGAAAGTAGGCTAAAATCTTACTCGGTATATAAACAACATTGTATACACTAAAGAAACCATGTATAATTTAGCAACCATAGTTGTTTTCTTTCTAATTCAGATTTTTACTACATATTCCAAGACCATCCATTCATCTCGAATGGCAGGGAATCGATATATGCATATAAGAATATGCACTTGTTAGTTGTCACTGTACTGGACCATTAACTCTTTAATGGGTTGACTTCTAAGGCTGAAACAAAATAATTAAGTGAAATACCTCTGGCTTGATTCCTGTAATCTCATCTGGAAGACTCACACACTGGTTAAGATCAAGAGTCCCAACCACCACTCGATCTTCTCCATCCTTGTTAAACTACACAAAAACCAAATATAAAAAATTAAAATTTTCTATACACAAGGATTAATGGAAACAATTAAAATTTGAAAACATGAGAATTGAAGCAAACAAACCTTACATTCAGCACAAAATTCATCTGACACAGAAAGGCTAGAAATTTGTGACAAAGGGACTGAAGCATTTATGCACGAAACTCTTCTGAAACCCTTCCTCTTTCCACCAACACGTTCCTTCATCGCTTCAAACTCCCGTTCCGCCAAGTACCTTCTGTGATCCTAATACAACTTGACGACCCAAAAACCCCATCAATACATTTAATTAATTACGGAAATTAGGGATTAATTACGTGATTGGAGGGACAGACTTGGAGGCCGAACGTGGAGGGTTTGAACTGGTAGAAGGAGCGAACGCGGAGACAAGCGGCGGCCCATAGCTCGTTCTCCGACAAACTCTCGGCAAGAGTGAGCGCGGACGGGTCGACCCGGTGTACGGCTTCCTTGGGGGTACATACTTGGCAGGCGGTGGTAGGGCGGCGGCGGACGAGTAGAGAGGCGGTGGAAACAGAGAATTGGGCTGGGAGAGGATGAGGGGAAGAGAGAAGCGCCATTTTCAATTTTGCTTTGTTTACTATCAGTTTTATCCTTTTTCTATGGTTGATGCTTCACGTCTTTGCCTTTGGGACTTTTTTCTTTTGTTCGAATTTGCCCTTGTCCTTTATTTTATTTTATTTTAGGCATATTTGTCGATTTGTCGTTTGAACTTGCATGAAGCTGTTAATATCTCCTATGAATTTTAATTTTAGCAGATTACCCTCTTAAGCTTTTGTAATTAGCCAATTTCCCTCTTGAATTTTAATTTTAGTCAATTACCCCCTAAACTTTTATAAATAATCAATTTCCCCCTGACGTTAGATTTCAAATTTTTTAATCTATTTTAATCACGGAAACAAAACATAACAATTGTAGAAGGGTAAAAAGGATGAAAATTTTAAAAATCTAACGCCGAGGGAATTGGCTATTTATAAAAGTTCAAGGGGAAATTGACTAATTATAAAAGTTTAAGGGTGTAATTGGCTAAAATTAAAGTTTTTGAGAGAAATTGACAGATGCATACAAGTTCAAAAAGCAAATCAACACATACCTCTTTATTTTATTTTAATACACAACAATATTGTGGTAGAGAATAAAACTTCAAATTTCTACTTACAAGTGGAAACAGATGTTATCAAGGGAATGGTTTGGATTGTGGTGCTTTAAAAAAAAAAAAAAAATGTTGTCAACAACGGTACAAAAACATAGAAAAGCAAAAGTAGGATCTACCATGCTTTTATAAAAAGTGCTGTTTTTTTTTTTTTTCAAAGTATAGTAAACAGTGCCTATTTAATGAAATTTTCAAATGGGCAAGTGGCCCTGTACCATAATGGTGAAAAAGTGTTGAACCCTTACATGACAGCGTAGGTTCGAACCTCGTCGGTGATAATATAACATCTGATATAACAAAATTTATCGTTTGACAAAAAAAAAAAAAAATCAAATGGCAGTGCACCCCCGCATATTATACAAAATTACAAATTTTGCCCCTGCATTAAGATCTTTAGCAATTATTATATCACATTAAATATTATATATTTTTTAGTTATTTAACATATTCCTATCAATTTATAAAAGTTTTTTCTTTTTGTTAAAAACACTTTTACAAAAAAAAAAAAAAAAAAAAAAAAAAAAAAAAAAGAAAAAGGTTTACCAAATGCTTAACAACTTTATTTTACATCTGTTTATTCTCACACATTACAATAGAAGTAGTGTTTTTTTTTTTTTTTTTTTAAGTACAGCAACACCAAACTAGTCCCAAGTTGTAGTTTTATTTACAATTTGCCTTACACTTGTACGCAAGAAAAAAAAGGGTAAATCACACAAAACTACCTCAACTATGGGTCGAACCACAATCTTATACCTCATGTTTTTAAAATTACAATGTCATAACTCATCTTAGCAATGCCAGACCTCCGTAAGTTTGTCTCTCAATTTCTCTATTAAATGCTGACGTGGCTTAAGGTGGGGTCCACTGTGACGAACCGTCCCTAATTTTCTATGTAATTTTCTTCTCGATTGTGTAAATTGACGTTTACGTCCTTGTTGGCAAACTGACGTGGTCATTCGATTTTAAATTATTTTCCTCATTATCATAATTAATTAGTACTTGTCGTTACGAGTGTGTGAGCGCGAGTTAGACCCGAATTGGAGTCATAACGAAAAAGTTACGTTAAATTAAAGTGCATTAAAAACGGGTAGATTTATTCACATGCGTGTTAATTATTCAGTGTTTGAAAACCACTATTTTTTATAAGGCACGTTAGATTTCATAGGATTTCCGCTGTACAAAACCTTATCAGTTTTCTTCTTTAAAAATTGAACCCGTGCCCTTTTTCCCTCACCCACCAATCATTCACCTTCCCACATCTTCGCACCCAATTTGACAGCACTCTTTCTCTTCTTTTCAGCCAATCAGAAAACATCTATCTCTCTCATCTTCTCTCTCTTCTCACCTGTCACTCTCTCTTTGCAACTACAAGGACCACATTCAAAACCTCACAAATCAAACTTAAAAACCCCACCATCATGTTCCTCTCGAACCCACGAACCCAACCATACACGAGTTTTGACTCGTCAACTCGAAAGCTTCGATTCGGACGAGTTTGCTCCGACGTGCTCCCAGCCGGGTTACAAGTTTTTGAATGTTGTGGGAGCACCTAGTCAACTCCATGGAGTCCTTAGACTAAGTTTGGAGTGGAGTTGACGCAAGAACACATGTTTTCGAGGAGTAGAAAATTTGGCAGAACCTTTTGAGGCTTTTTCAGTCCATTCCCTTCCACTTTTTGGACTTTTGAAAGGTACAATCTTGTTTTACTCCTCAAGAGCTTGATTTCCATATAAAGATCCTTGAAAATGGTTGAGAAATAAGCAAGTTGTGAGGTTTTGAAAATTTTCCCATAAACCAGCGAACTAGACGGTGGCGGATGGCGAGACTCACCAAAGAATACGAAGAATATTTTGTCAAAGTTGACGGAATATTCTAACGGCATCAGGTAACACCTTTAAGTTCCGTTACTATTTAACGAAATATTCAGTCAACTCTGACGGAATAATCCCCAGTTCAGTTAGTCTCTGACCTGCGCATGGGAGCGCGTGTGGCCATTGGCTAGGTGGCACTTGAGGGCGCGTCCGACCTCCGGACGACGAGTGCCTAACATGTACGGGTCTGTGACGTTGTGTAGAGTGTTTTCGTATATTTAAACCTTCGTTTGAGCAAGCTATGAGGAGTTTTTCCTAGCTTTTAGTATATGTGAATTAATTAATTACTTTTAGTTATTTCACATATAGGTGAAAATTATCCCGAGGACATACGAGGACAAGCGAGGTTAGGAGGCTATGATTCATCGACGTATTAGTGAGTAAGCATTTGTTTTCATATATACATATATAAACTTTATAGTTTCCACAAATGTTTTGAATTGATTTATGCATATCATGCCATGATTAAATAACGTTATAAGAAATGTTGTACTATTGTGAAATGCGAAAATAATCCTACGGGATGCGCAAGTAAGTTTATTATGTTGATTAGAATTATTGAATCGTTTTGGCATGCTTATATTTATGTAGTATGCTCATCATTGCTACATCCCGGTGTTAGTGCTCGCCCAGGGCCAGGGCCAGTTTTTCACGTACATGTTCACCTCCGCACCGCATTCGGTTACATTTGGCAACTCTGACTCGTAGGTGATTGCGATTAGCATTAGTCTTCACGTGATTATAGCACTAGAACATATATTATGATTACACCCAGTCCTGTCGTATAGGTCGCATTATGCGACTCCAACTTGTGTGCTAGCATAGATTGATGAGCATTAGTTCAGTCGTACAGGTCGCATTAGGCGACTCTGACTTGTGTGTTAGTATAGATTGATTGAACACATGATTTTACTTGTATTACTGTTGAGATATTGTGATGTGGCATACTTCTGGATTTACTGTTGATTTGCATTTGATTTCATACCTATACGTAGTATGATTTTTTGGAAACTATACATGTTTTACGGTGAGTGGTTAGTATGTTCAGAAAATAAATGGATTTTATAAACTTTTGTTTTTGCCCACTCACCCTTCTATTTTTCACCCCTCCAGGTCCTAGATAGCTGAATTACTCTATGACGTACAACGATTAGCCGGCGATTCTGACATATCCCTGTTTAAGTGCAGGAACTTATCTCGTTGTGTATTAAGTACTTAGCTAGTTTCGACTGCACACTCTTTTGTCATCTATGCTCTAAATATTTGTATTTTATGGGTTCTACCCACTATTGCGCACTCACTTTATTAGTTTAAATAAGTTCTAGTTTTGGTTTTAATTTATTCACATTTTTACATCACTTACACTTTTGGTTACGTCACCTTTGGGTGATGACCATAATGCCTTGACTTCGGTCGGAGTGTGTCAGTTTGGTATCCGAGCATAGGTTTTGGCAGTCTTGCATTCCTCGTATGTGTTATGGGTCCTAATTATTTTTTATCTCTTATGTCAAAATCATGCCACCTCGTGGAGCGCCACCTGTCCCTGCTGAGACTAATTTTCCCAATTTTGTGTAACTCGGTGAGGCGATCGCCAGCGCCATTTAGTCCACACTTCGTCATCCTTAGAGGACTACCTTAGAAAACGTATCCCATCTTCAAATAAATAATTTCTTTGGCAATGAAGGACCTAAGAAATTTGAGGTTTGGATAGACCATGTTGAGAAGACTTTTTGAGTTATGTAGCAACAGGGGCAGCAAGTCCACAGGTAGTTCCCACTTTCAGAATCAGAGGAACCCTAGCAATTCTGGTGCTCCACTCTGTCGCAGATGCAATAACCATCATTTCGATGAGTGTAAAATGGGAAGTAATGGGTGCTATACTTGTGGTCAGATGGGGCACAGTGCTAATCAGTGTCCACAGAGTCAACAAAATCAGCCTCCTACACTACCACTTGCAGTTCATCTCCAGCAGATTTTAGGTTCCGGTACCTACCCACAGATAAGTTATGGTGGTGCTTACCACTACTAGGGTGACATAGCTTAGTATCCAGGATGAGCATATTACTACCCATTTGATCCTTGTTACCAGGGGGTTATACACCGTATTAGGGCGGCAGAGCTCAGTGGTATGCTGGAGGGCAATACCAAAATCTTGATGTGGCTTCTAGCAATGGCGCATCGACCAGGTAGCCTAATCCAACAAATCAGGGTCGAGGTAACCAGGGACACGGCAACTAGGGAAACAGGGGTCATGGAGGCTGACAGTAGGCACAGGGTCATGTTAATCATATCACCTTGCAGGATGCTCAGGGTAACCCCAACTTGATTATGAGTACATTAAATGTTCTTGGCCATTTTGCTAGAATATTAATTGACTCGGGTGCTATTCTTTCGGTTATTTCTCATACGATTGCTCAAAAGACTCAACCTCACCCCGCTCCCCTCGATTATGAGTTGGAGTTCTCAATGCCTAGGGGTGAAGTTTGCTATATTAGTTGGGAATATTGAGGATGTCCCGTTCTCATCGAGGATATCGTAATGCTAGCTAATCTTGTTCCCTTGGACATCGTT